CACAGAGCAGGCGCGGGTGAGTGCCGTCCACGCTCTCCGTGCGGCCCTGCTGCTGGCTCCGCGCGGATGCCCTGTGGGGAACGCACTTGGTTCACTCACTCTGGGGCCCAGCTCGCCACAGACCACCGTCCTGAGCCCCATCCCTTTGCTCCAATAAAACTCCTCTTCTGATGAGACCCGGCTTCACAACACGTTTCTATCATGAGAAGCCTGGTCTCCTCCATCACCAATGGGCACCTGAGCTCCGACTGCAACACCCCTCCCTCTTCACAGCGGAGGAGAGACCGCTGCTGCTGCTACAGCGACTGACTCCCTGGGACCAGCGGGCCTGCTCCCTCCGCGCCCACCTGCAGAGGTCGCTGTCCCCGCGGGAGGCACTGAGTGTGACCCTCAGGGCTGCAGCCGCCAGGGAGGCCACGTGAGGCTGCAGCTGAGCTTGGCCCTAAATGGGCACAGACTAAAGTCGGAATCATCTAAACGTGTCACCTAAACTCACACCTGACATCTCAGTGTGGCCATCGGGCCACAGAATCAGCTCATTTCCTCGCACGACGTTCTCTGCGCACTGTCTTCACGCTATTACCTAAGGAGCACATCCCACAAGTGCAGTACAGATGCACGTGAGGCGTGAAGACAAACACACGCTGCAGAGAGGCGATGCCAAAGAGCAGCTACGAGCAGTCACACCCAGTCAGTGTGTGGGTCCCGGGGACCCGCTCTGCTATGTTACTCAGAGTTCATGCCGCATCCAGTGCCGAGAAAGATGGGGTTCAACAGGGACCAGGTCCGCACATGTCTGCCCGCCACACCTGCGTGCCCAGCGGGCGGTGGGACCCGCGGGGAACACGGGGGAGCGGGGCGGGCCTCGCTGGAGAAGCGTGAGACGTCGGGCTGTCTTTGGCAGATAGTTCGCTGGAACCTTCTTTCGTTGGAAGGGCACGGAATTCACCATGAACTTTGTGCAACGTCCAGAAAGAGGCCAGAGGAAATGGCCCATTGAAGACAGCGCACAGAACGCACAGCAAAGGGGAGGCGCCCCCTGCAGGGCCGCTCCTGGGAGCCGTGCCGGCCACACAGCACCTCTGCCTTCCCCAGACAGAGGGCTCCGTGCATGTGGGAGCCCAGAACCGGTTCATCTTGGTGAAATGTCCCGCACGCACACCCCTGCACAGGGCGCATCTGCACAGACGGGCACAGCGCACACACCATCTCCCCACCTCACGTCCTGGGTCAGGCACGGCCAGTGTGCCGACGAGCGTTTAAAAGCATCGGTTGATGTAGATCAGCCGATGGGATTTCACTACAGGAGACCTTTGAAGGGACGTGTGATGCTGACTAATTGGAATAAGAGGAGAATCTCTGCATCCCGGCTGGAGGCCTGCCTTGCGGAGGGTCTTGCACCAGGCGGGGGCCGCAGTGCCCGCGAGCAGAGGGAGCCCTGGCTGCCGGGAAACGCAGCCCTTTTATACGTGGAAGCCCAGTATTTCCTCTTAAAGAGCTACATCCATCAAATATCTAAGGGCTGCACTGACTCATCCTCTGAGGCTCGGCCAAGACTATTTCTCGGGGGGTCATTTACTCAGCTTCCAGGACGGCCGCACGGTCCACCCTGCGCTGCACACGTGCTCGCGGGGGTTACAGCGATCTGCTCTGCAGTCACCCTACTTTAGCATCACAGTCGTCGTTTAAAAATAATCCCAGTCTTGCCCTGGCCGATGTGGCTCAGTGGATAGAGCGTTGGCCTACAGACTGAAGGGTGCCCTTTGATTCCCGGTCAAGGGCACTTGCCTGGGTGGCGGGCTCAATCCCCAGGAGGGGCTTGCAGGAGGCAGCCGATCCATGATTCTCTCATCATTGATGTTTCTCTCTCTCCCTCTCCCTTCCTCTCTGAAATCAATAAAAATATAGAAACACCAGAAAAGTAGCAAGCATGCTAAGAATATTAAAAAAGAACAAACCCGTCTTTTTTACGATCAGTCAACAGACAGCAGCTGCCTCCTCCCTTCAGCTTTGGAGGAAGCTGGGCCCTGTCCCGGTGGAGGAGGCGGGGCGGCTACTTAACTAGTCCCCTTCAGAGGTACCAGCGGGGCCTGCGGGGCCTGCACCCCCTCGGTGGGCAGGGCTGCGTCCTGCCCTCAACGCCCTTCAACACTCAGGCTGGGCCTCCTTCTCGGAACTGACCGGCCAGGGAGGAAGGAAAGAGAACCGTGGCCGCGGAGCTGGTACGCGTTGCTGCACGGAGCGCAGCCTCACGCAGGCCTGAGGAGAGGAGCTGTGAGCGCTGCATCTCCGACCCTACAGGGAAGCGCGGAGAGTAAACCACGCGGAGACATGCCGACAGGGAAGGCCGATGCCCACCGTGACCTGCAGCGGAGGGGAGCATGAGCCGTGAGCAGGAGGCTGTGCTCCTGGGCAGCGGGTGGCTGCCCCGGCTCAGAGCCCCTGCCCCACAGCGAGGCGAGGGCGGCACGGGCACAGTGACTGGCCGTTTTCCACTTAGGCCTCAAATGACTGACCACCGACTTTGGGTCAAGGTCACACAGTAGGACAGTAATGAGTTCCCCTGAACGCTGCCGTGCTGGCGAAGAATGCAGCGTCTGCCGCAGGAAGAGCGGAGACGTCAGATGACACTGGAAGGAGCAACACGGTCACAGCAAAGGAGGGTCCCGCGAAGCAAACGGCATCAGTGGAGTCAGTGGTGGGGTTTTGTTTAGGAACCGAGAACGTGGCCATGACCTCCTAACATCTGTCCCGAATGTCCCGGGAGCTCCTCTGGGCGGCACGGCAGCACAAGGACCGCGGCCTCCCGGAGAGGGCCTGGCAGACGCCTAGAGGTAGCACTTGGTGCCCAGGGCCACAGGCCGCCCACTCCGCAGCCTCCAGGAACCCAGCACAGACACTGGGAAAGGTCAGGTCACCACGACAATTGGAAATGTAGGAACCAGAGAGGAATTCAAGCTCCAGAGCAGCTCCTACGGCACGAATGCCAGTCACACTGTGTGTGACATCACGTTACAGGCAGCCTGGCTCTGCTCAGGAACCAAACCAACAAGAGGAGACGGGCGCTGCAGGGGGCACCCAGGCGGCAGCAGTGACTCACCTTCACTCCGTCCGGCTTCTTCAGCAGACTCTTGGCCGCTGCAAAATGAGAGAGACCGTGTTAGCCAGTCCTGCATGGGTCCGGCCCGGCGCCGAGACGGTCGCTGTCTCCGGCACCGTGGAGCCACGCCGCACACCCAGCCATGAGGCCGTGAGCCCAGCTCCTGGGACAGACACACGATCTGGTTCCAAGTTGCTTCAGAGCTCACGGCACAGAAGCGAACACATGCCCAGTCCTGCCACTGGACCCGTCCCTGCCGGCTGGAGGCCTCGGGCCTGTCGCCGCCTACCTACTAGCCGACACCCACCAGGGGCTCCACCTGCGCAGTGTTCATGTCATGCCAGCCCTTGCCTGAGTCCTGCTCCACAGGCTCAAACTCGCTGGGGAAAATATTCTCTGGCGAAATAACGTCTTTTTAAAAATATGTATCTTTGAAATCAGATTTCACTTTTACAAAAATATTAATAACTGTACTTAAAATAAAATGGTATATTACTGACCTACTTTAAACCCTTAGCATATACGTGTTAGAAGAGAAATTATGTATTCTTCTCTACTTCAAAATCAGAACAAGACTTCAAAATCAAAAGCCGTTCACACCGAAAAATTAAAAATCACAGAGTCTGAGGTTAGACACGAAAGAAAATGAAATCTTCAAGGAAACGTG